TGAAAGTGTCACTCCATAATACAATAGCAAAATATATAAATATGTATAGTATTTTTATGTTACATTAATCAGTGTCTAGCACACCTTCCTAAGGAAAGGATATGGACCAGAAGACATTGCAATTACTAAATTATATATAGACAGACTTGAAGTTCCAGATCTATACTTGTGCCCTTATTATTTCAGTTATTTTGCCTTTAATGTAAATAAACATGTGCAAACAATATACTTGCTCTTGTGAATTTATTTGGATGTTAATTACATTGTGCAAGCTGTCTCTTTAATACCGCGTGGTTTATATACATGCTGCTGCTGATTGGGCTGACATGTTTGACACACCCACCAAACAAGAGAAAACTCATCTCAAACCCCGTTGCACACTGTTTCCAGGAAACATGTCGTTCAAACCAGAAAACATAGCAAAACGGTGCACACCGGTTTGAGCTTGAACTTGCCCCTGATGACGGTACAGTTTGATCTTCGGCTGACCAATCAGCAGAAAGGGGCGTTTAATTCCCGCCCGCATGTAGAAATCGAATATTCAAGCCGTTTCATTTTTCCACCCATGAACGGAAAACGAAAATTTAAGCTGAATTCTCGTTTTTCAAACGAAAAAGGAGCCGTTTTCAAATTTTTCTACTTTCAATATTAAATCAAAAAACGAATGATCGAATGATACTCAAGAGTGTTTCCCTTTCATGGGAACTTCGAACTGCGTCCTCTAGGGGTCGCTATGGGGAACGCCTCGTCGTGACTCGTATCTGAAGCATACATTGAAAAAACACCAACTCGTTGGCCGGCGACAGCCATGACGTCACTACCGGTGCGACTACAGTATAAATCGGTGCCGGGAGCTACACATCGTTCACTTCTTCGTCTGAAGCTTGCGTCCGCAGCATGGCAAGAAACCTAGAGGACGCAGTGTCTCGTTCCCTACTCAGGGAACCATGGTTACATAAGTAACCCGAGACGTTTTCTTTGGAAAACTTTACTTCACTACATTCCAAAGCATAATGTCATAGTTTTTACTGCACTACATTTCATAAATAAAAGTTGTTGTTTGTTTTACCTTTAATACTTAAGAACATTAAAAACTTAGTTATGTCTTGTACTCAAGTAAATCTTTGAATTACTTTTACTTGAGTAAAAGTAAGAAAGTAATAGATTTCTAATGTAATGAAGTATTAAATAATATTTAATATGAACCGTAGCGCAGGAAAAAAGTACAATATTATGCTTTGGAATGTAAAGTTTTCTAAAGAAAAACACTCTGATAAAGTACAGACACTTGACAAGTACTTTTAAAGCAGAGTAAAACTACTTCACTACTCTCCGCCTCTGCACACGCACACAATATATATGATAAACGTCACTTTCAATAAAATGAGCTGATTGCCGTGCATTATTCTCAACATATCTCAACATATTATTCTCAGCATTATTCTCAACATATCAACATTCAGCGCGATCTGAACCCTAAACACGTTTTGTCCAAAAAGCCGGGTTTGTCCACTTTCAAGGCATCGCAAGTTCACGTTTTACTGCAGAAGCCGACAAGCGCCCTTGTTGTTTTTGAACAGAAGCCGATAAATCCATTTTAGCGAATCAGCGCGCGCTGTATTCAGGTCAGGTGACAAGGCTACTTTCACTTGAAAAGAGTGAAAATGTTTTTTCGGTTGTCATGAATGTTGTGAATGAAGTGATTAAGGTGGGCCCTATGCGTTTGAGACTGTCTTCTAGTTTGGAGGACACTCCAGGGCTGCCCCCTAATAGTCGACTAATCGTTAGTCGACCAGAAGAGGCTTGGTCGACCAAAATTTTATTAGACGCTTAGCCGCATAATTATTATTTAAAAAAAAAAACGGTTCCGTTGTGTTTGTGTCGCAAGTTCAGTGATGGAGCCGTACCGTGCCGTACCATGCAGTGGAAAAGCTCCACAAGTGAACCGTACCGTTACCAAAACGCGACGTGTAAACTGATCACGGATTGGCCGGAGAGAATCGTCACTACCTGCGTCACTGAACTTGCGACACAAACACAAAATAACTGCTAGATTTAAATCAGCACACC